AGAAAGAGAATAATTCCAATGTGTATTGATTTATAAACCTTATTGGACAGAGTCAGTGCTGTGCATAATAGAATTGTATCCAATTTTAGTCATGCTCACTACTAAAATTATTGGATGTGACTAATATAGATATCTTAATTTCAGTGTGTCTACTCAGGGTAGAACTTACAACCCATAGTTTTTAAAGTGCTCAGTAAATTCTAAGAGTAATACACATGACTTCAAAATAATACACGTGACTTTTCGATTATTACTTACTATTTTTAAATGGCAAAATATTCTTCAACATGAGGACTCCTTGCCTTCCTAACGGTTGTGATTATACTTGCTGAATAACACTTGAACGGCATTATGTTATCACAGCCACCTAAGTTCTATGAGTCTCTCACATTCTAGGGTGATTCAGCTTCTCAACATCAACCGGCCAATTGGGTTTTACAGAAGACATGTAACTTGGAACATAAAGATTTTTCTTGGGTTAAACGACAAAATGCTATTGTACCTATCCTTTCTGAGCCAGGTATGTCAAAATAATTAGGTTAATGGGCAGCCTAAGAGGATAGTAGTTAGAAAAATGGCCTATTATAGCAGCCATTTAAAAAATACGGAAAATTAGATATTGCCTTAAATTTTCACAAAATCAGATCATACAGTTTTTCCAACATATCTGCATTACAGTACTACATCCGACATTACCTTTTTCCTAGACGGAAATGAAGCAAATTCTTTTGGAATTCTGTTTCTTTTGTATTTTCTACTTGGGCTTTTTATCTTTTGCTTTTGCAGCCGGGTATACATAATTTACATAGGAAGCCGCCTTATACCAGGTCAGACAGTTGATCCATCTTGTAAGTATTGTCTGCTCTGACTGGCAGTGGCCTCTCAGTTCCATTCAAATGAGATCACAAAGCCACCTTACACTTCGTATGGTGCAATATCCACATATGGACTGGACAGTAAAATGCCAACTGATTGGTGAGCTTGAATGGCCATTAACCAATATTTTAAGCTAGTTTGTCTTGCATGTTTTGAACTTGTGGAGGCATCTTAAGTTATCTGAGCTGCTGTCACCACCACTGCCTTGCCCAGCAACAACAAATATCTTGGTGGGTGAGCGTGAGGAGATTCTCATGTGCAGTGACAGATATCTAGTGGCTGTGTACAAAAATCTGTTAATTGGAATGAATTTACAGTGGTGACCCGCAAGACGAATGCCTCGCAAGACAGAAAACCCGCTAGACGAAAGGGTTTTCCGTTTTTGAGTTGCTTCGCAAGACGATTTTCCCTATGGGCTTGCTTCGCAAGACGAAACGTCTTGCTAGTCTTGCGATTTCCCCCCCGCTTTCCCCCTTTTTTCTAAGCCGCTAATAGCGCTAATCCGCTTAGCCGCTAATAGGGTTGCTTCGCAAGACGAAAAAACTGCTAGACGAAGAGAATCGCGGAACGGATTCTTTTCATCTTGCGAGGCACCACTGTATATGGAAGTATGTTCTAGCAAAAGTGCTGTTCCCTCAACAGATGTGGAATTTTCCTGTGGGGAAAACAGTAGGCTTTCTCATCTTAACAGAAATACCTGTCTGCAGTGTACAGAGTCAGAGGCTGGCTTTGGTAATATGGTGTCCTAAGCAAGGGTTAAACCACAGAGCCGATCAGAAGGGCGGCGGTCCGAATCCCCGTGATGGGGTGAGCTCCCGTTGCTCGGTCCCTGCTCCTGCCAACCTAGCAGTATGAAAGCACGTCAAAGTGCAAGTAGATAAATAGGTACCGCTCCAGCGGGAAGGTAAACGGCGTTTCCGTGCGCTGCTCTGGTTCGCCAGAAGCGGCTTTGTCATGCTGGCCACATGACCTGGAAGCTGTACGCCGGCTCCCTTGGCCAATAAAGCGAGAGGAGCACCGCAACCCCAGAGTCTGTCACGACTGGACCTAATGGTCAGGGGTACCTTTACCTTTAAGCAAGGACAAAATGTGATGCCCCCCTTAAGTTTGAGTAGGTACTCGTGTAAATATAGGTGGTTGTTGTTGTTGTTGTTGTGCACCCCTTCGGCTCGGCACCTTTTTGGGGGGTACTGTCTAAACCTCCCTAAATCCGATGCTGAGAATGGTAATTGCCTAATTCTGTTAGAGTGTTACAAAGGTATTACATTATTTTTGATTGAATAAAGTACTGTTAAAATGGTACTTTAAAACTCTTTATTAAAATAATTTCACAAATTATTTATTCTAAAAGAGAAAATGGTTCATATGGGTTCTCCCCCAGTTCTTTCCCCCCTGTCCCGCTGTTGGAAGGCTAAATGCTTTGCATGAAACAGTTCTTTGGTTCAGTATCAGTTTTTAGCTTTTGAGTAGTAGAGCTGGGGAAAACTGTTGTTGGTCAGAGCAGGCAAGGCTAGGCAAGATGGACCAATGTTTGGACTTCGCATATGACAGCTTCTTTTGTTCATATAACATAGTTTATCCTTTAGTGTAAATGTCGGGTACCAGACTTAAAACCCCCCATCTCTACCTGTTTTTAAACAAGTTAAAGAGTGACTGAACTAAGTAAAGGTTTCAGGAGCTCTGAAAATATATTCTAGGGTTGTCAAACAGCAGAATATGGGAAATAAAAAGTTAGGATAACAGAGTACAATATTAGTAACTATTTCTATTTCATTTTTAAAAAATGCATTTGGATATGGCTATTGTTTGAGATGGGGACGCGGGTGGCGCTGTGGGTAAAACCTCAGCGCCTAGGACTTGCCGATCGCATGGTCGGCGGTTCGAATCCCTGCGGCGGTGTGCGCTCCCGTCGTTCGGTCCCAGCGTCTGCCAACCTAGCAGTTCGAAAGCACCCCCGGGTGCAAGTAGATAAATAGGGACCGCTTACGAGCGGGAAGGTAAACGGCGTTCCGTGTGCTCCGCTGGCTCACCAGATGCAGCTTGTCACGCTGGCCACGTGACCCGGAAGTGTCTGCGGGCAGTGCTGGCTCCCGGCCTATAGGGTGAGATGAGCGCACAACCCTAGAGTCTGGCAAGACTGGCCTGTACGGGCAGGGGTACCTTTACCTTTACTATTGTTTGAGATTATGTTTTAGAGCAGAACTGTTCCCATACGGTAATGTTAGTTTAGTGCATGGACACTAAGTTATCTTGTCTTTATTATGCAGCCTCAGTTTATTTGTATCTTAAAAGTTTCTGACAATCTTCAGGACTGTATTGCAGAAGAGGCGCTGTGATGAGCAGAAAAGTGCATATAATTAGGAATACAAGTTAATGCAATCAGAGTAATTGGAGTCAAACTGAATGTACAGCTTTAATACACGAGAAGGATTAGGGAATTTCATAATAGGGAAGCAATCCAAACTCATGGTAATAGGCTGTTATCAGGCCCCTAGGAAGATAAAACCTTGTCATTTCTAATGTTTTGTTTTATAAATTGACTTATCTGAAATAAGCTGCACAACTTCAATGAAGTCTGATTCCTATGGTGTATTCAAATTAAGTCAACAAGGCTCTGTCTTTCTTTGAATGTGCATATTAATTTCAAAGTGCAAGTATAATTGGTCAGTCTAACGATAAAAGTATCCCAGCCTGTTAAGGAACTATTTTAATTATATTTTTTTACTTTTCTGTTATAAATCTCCCGCAAAGGAAGTATTTTATATCAAGCAGACAACAATTCTTAAATGTTAGGCAATAGTGATACAGAGAACTTGATATGTGGCTGCAAAATTTAAAAGCACATGGATATGAACTATTTCTTAGTGAGATACATTTACCCAGAATGTTTACAACTATCTCTAGAGTTGGCAGTAATAGACATTATGTTTTGGGTCTGTGATGTCTCCAGAATCTGAGGGCTCAGCTTTTGTGTTCTTGGCTGGGGATTGGGCAAGTAACCATCAGTAATGACAGACTTTAAATTTGTTTCATGATTAGTGGGGCTAGGTGTGAAGGGTACACTGTTAGGCAAAGAAGTATTGCCTCTCTTATGCCAGTTTGATGAATAAGGCATTTAAAAGTGTTGGAGTGTGTGTGTGTGTGTGTGTGTGTGTGTGTGTGTGTAAAGTAAAATTGACTTTCCTTCTAACATTTAAAAACTGAAGCTGACAATGGTTAATAGAATCAGCATTAGGTTGAAGGATTTTATCATGTCTGCTTTTGAAACCAACTTTATGTTAAACATTTCATACCCCATCTTCAGTTTGAAAACTTCTACGGCTGCTTACAATATAGAATTTAAAGTCTTTTAAATCTGTCTTAATGCAGAAGCGACTGCTGCTATGTTTTGTAGCATTTTAAATTGTATTTATACTTACTTTGTTTTAAATACTATTTAAAATGCTACAAAACATAGCAGCAACCGCTTCTACATTAAGACAGATTTAACAAACTTTAAGAGAACTCTGGGGTTTGACTGAGATTGCCTTGTAGAATTCTACATAGCACATATAATGTTTAAAATTTGTAATCTTAATTTTGTAAAATATAATGTTGAAATTGTATTCATAATGCAGAAATGTAAAAGCCTTGCATATAACAAACCTAAAAATTAAACTCTGGCTACCCTTACTTTACCCAAAGCGTTAGCTGACAAACTGTGTGATTTGTATGATGTACGAATGCATTTGTGTTCTTGGGCGTTATTTCTGTCAAGCGTTATTTGTCCCTTTGTTCTGTACATCTAGACTCGTGAACATTGTTCATAAGTGTAGCCAGATCCACTTCTTTGTTACCTGATATAAAGCTAAGATATTCTTCTAATATCTTAGATTGAAAAGTGTGAGACTTTTGGAATGGAGGAAAACTGCCGTTTCCATAGCTGGGAATGGCTATTGGTAGTGTCCATCTCTATTCAAGTTTATCTTTTCCACAGTGAGAAACAACAAATGGTTACATTGACACTGGCAACCTGATGCAAATGCTGATTCCAAAATAGCTATCATTGAATTTTATTTTAGTGAACCGCTTGTTCTTTTATAAATAGGATTTTGATCTTACAATTGCCCTTTTTTCTGTTGTAGGTTATATAAGATTCTCCCCTACCTTGTGGAGGACTCTGGAGTTGCCCATCGAATGTTCGGTGGAAGAACACGAATAACCTGGATATGGTGCCAAAAGATCTCCAAATGATTTTATAGTTTGACCCAATGATTCTTCTGGATATATATTTCTCTCTTCAAGAATAAGTGCAAAGTCCAAATCCTGCTCACTGGAAGATATTTTTATTTTAAGATCATGGACCATCTTACTAGGGAGAAAGATGAAAGGCGAACCGGAAAAGGAAATCCAACAAGAAGTTCACACAGTACCCGAGCATCAAGTTCCACTTCAGCCTCTGGTGTTCTCATGGTTGGGCCCAATTTCAGAGTTGGCAAGAAGATAGGCAGTGGAAATTTCGGAGAGCTCAGGCTAGGTAAGAGCATATAACTTTCACCGGTTATAAACAGGGCTACACTACAGTGGTGCCCCGCAAGACGAATGCCTCGCAAGACGGAAAACCCGCAAGACGAAAGGGTTTTCCGTTTCTGAGTTGCTTCGCAAGACGATTTTCCCTATGGGCTTGCTTCGCAAGACGAAACGTCTTGCTAGTCTTGCGTCGTCCCCCCCCACTTCCCCCCTTTTTCTAAGCCACTAAGCCGCTAATAGCCTTTTAGCAGCTTAGCCGCTAATCCTTTAATAGCCGCTAAACCGCTAATAGCGCTAAGCCGCTAATAGGGTTGCTTCGCAAGACGAAAAAACCACTAGACGAAGAGAATCGCGGAACGGATTCTTTTCGTCTTGCGAGGCACCACTGTATTTAGTTAAAATGTTTTGATCAGCTAGAAGGGTGTCCCTAATTTGCAATTAATGTAGTACGGTGGTACTTAATTCGTTCTGGAGGTCTGTTCTTAACCTGAAACTGTTCTTAACCTGAGGTACCACTTTAGCTAATGGGGCCTCCCGCTGCCACCACGCTACCACCGCATGATTTTTTTTCCATCCTGAAGCAAAGTTCTTAACCCGAGGTACTATTTCTGGGTTAGCGGAGACTGTAACCTGAAGTGTCTGTAACCCGAGGTACCACTGTAGATGTCAAAACTTCAGATAGCAGATGCCACCTTAGGAAAAGCATTTCCCTGTGTAAGGGGGATGCCCTTTCTAAGGCAGTTTTTGCTGCAGTATATACACACCTCATCCAAAACGTATGTTTTTCATATTATTTCATATGAAAGTTATAATTAACACTTCTTTACTTGGGTGACATCTTTCTTTCCCCCCTTTTTTCTGCTCAGGAAGTTTTAATATGCTATTTTTTAACTATACATAACTTGGTTTAACTGAATAATTTCCATATATACAGAAAATGATGAAGCTTATATAAATTAATAAACAATGCTTAATGCAGTTCTTTCTTGAGCGGCTGTTTTTCAGAATTCCACAGTATATAATTTCCTGTTCCATAATGCTGCTAAATAAAATTTTCACATATAAACAAGCAATTATTTTGCTTTTATTTTTTAGAGCAGATAAAAGAATTAAATCCCAGTTTAAGACCCACCAGTTTATACTGGTTTAACTGGTTGCTGGAGAAAGCTGTTTTTTATAATGAGATGACGATATCCATGATTTCCTATGGGAACATTTCTAACCTATGCTACCTCCCTCCACTCTTTCTGTCTGAAACTGCAGCAGCCAATCAGCTAAAGGCAAACAAAGGAAAAACTTATTTGCTTGATCTCTCTCCCTCCCCCTACATGGTTTCTGCCTAAAATTGCTTCCTCCAACCAGCAAAACACAAACTAGTAAGAAGGTAGGCAAACTCCAGTTGTTCGGATATCTGAGCCAGCCTTATGTAGTGAAGTTTGCGTATAATTCTTTGTGTTCAGATAACTGAGATTTCAGATAACAGTTGGTTTTCGAACAGTTTAGTTCCCAAACGTTTTGGCTCCCAAACGTCGCAAACCCAGAAGTGAGTGTCCCAGTTTGTGAACTTTTTTTGGAAGCCGAACATCTGACAGGGCTTTGTGGCTTCTGATTGGCTGCAGGAGCTTCCTGCAGCCAATCAGAAGCCACAATTTGGTTTTCGAACGTTTTGGAAGTTGAACGGACTTCCGGAACGGATTCTGTTTGACTTCCAAAATACAACTGTAGTCAGATTTAATTGATTCAGTTATACAGCAGACCAGATGTTTTGGACTACAACTGCCATCAGTGCCAGCCAGCACAGCTGTGTTGACTGGGGCTGATGGTACAGTGGTGCCCCGCAAGACGAACGCCTCGCAAGACGGAAAACCCGCTAGACGAAAGGGTTTTCCGTTTTGGAGGCGCTTCGCAAAACGAATTTCCCTATGGGCTTCCTTCGCAAGACGAATGCTTCGCTCCCGCCCGCCAGCATTTTAAGATCGCCCCGGACAGCGGAGAAGTCCCCCGCTGTCCCGGGGTTTTTTAAAATGCTGGGGGTGGGAAGAAAAGCCCTTGGTCCCCCCCCCAGCCTTCAGAAGAGGTCGGGGGACAGACTGTCCCCGGACCTGGTCTGAAGTATGTTTCCATAGGAACGCATTAATTGATTTTCAATGCATTCCTATGGGAAACCGTGCTTCGCAAGATGAAAAACTCGCAAGAAGAAAAAACTTGTGGAACGAATTAATTTCATCTTGCGAGGCACCACTGTACTTGTAGCCCTAATATCTGGAGAGATCAGGTTGGTGAAGACTGGAGTAAACCTGTTTTCATTCTGGAAACCTGAAAAACTAGCAATACTGACTTACCTGTCACCATTGTGATGTTTATTGTGTCTCTGTTTCCATTGCAGGCAAAAATCTTTATTCAAATGAATACGTAGCAATCAAACTGGTGAGTAATGTGCAGTTTTTAAACATCTCTGAAATTCTGAGTGTTAAGCAAATTAGGAGTTTAGATTATTCTCTCGCTGATCTAGACTATGTTTTCCTGGACATCTCTGTAAACTGCTGTCTTTTAGATTCCTGGTAGAACACTTCCCTGTTGTAAACATATTCACAAAATGCTTTGATAAAGAGATTTGGAAAGCTGTTTTGATATTAACGTGCCATGTATCTTAATAATATTTTTTAGTGAATGGCCACTTCTTTCTAACTTATTTATTTATTTAACTTATATCCTTCCCTTCATCCGCAGATTTTAAGGCAGGTAACATACATACATACATACATACACACACAAAATATCATGTACGTAATTCAGATTAATGACCCAAATTAAGTTCTTTGACAGATGCTTAATATTAGGCTCCTTCCTATCTGACAATGTGACCATGTAGCTGCTTTTCTTCAGTTTTTGCCTACATTGAAGTTGGCTTCTCATGAATTCACACCTGATATTTTGTGGTGGAAAGTCAAAGGGCAAGGATTGAATAGCAGTTCTTCAAAGCCAGTCAAAATAAATCCTGGTCCTTGGTGGTTTTCCAAGTTTGAGAGATGCTAAGGCTGCCATAGAGTTCCATTTAATTTGACTATTTTCTTACTCTGTTTTTGTAGGAGCCATTAAAATCTCGTGCCCCACAGCTGCATTTAGAGTATAGGTTTTATAAACACATTGGCTGCACAGGTAAGTAATCTCATCGCTAGAAATGATAATAAAAGGAGAGTATTTAACTTGATGTATTTGAAACACCATTAATATCTTTCCTGGAGACCACTGTTTGTCCTTGGCTGATCTGACAGTTGCAATTTTGATGCTCTACCACAGTCCTCAATATTTGTTTACCTTTGTATTCCAAGCATAAAGGGAACTCATTTTATTCTGTTAGTAGGTAACTTTGAGAAAATATATGTAGAAGGCACGTATAATAGATCCGACTTAAGGGTTGTAGCTGGTATACTGGAAAACAGATGTGACTCCCTTAACACATATGAGATGCAAGATACACCCAGAAGAGTCCTGCTGGATCAGAACATCTCTAGTCCAACATCTGGTTTCCAGATGTGGTCAACCAGATGGCTTCCTAGAAGCAGGATAGTAGCCCTTTTCCACAGAAGAATACTGCCGCTGATCCTGGAGGGTAGCGTAGAACCGCTATGACTAGTAGCCATCAATAGTGCTATGCGTCATGAGTTTGCCCATGGTTTTTAAAGCCATCTAAGCTAATGGACGCCACTGCATCTTGCTGTGGTAAATTCCTTTGTTTGACTAGGCATGCTCTTTGATGTCTGTTATGTAGGGTAGGGTAGGCATCAAAATAAAGAAAATGCTACTTGATCTTCACAGCCCAGCCAAAGAACAGAGCAGTAGATACTAAATTTACGTGTGGCATTGACTTCAGGACTGGAAACCTATTGTCTGGAAGCTTTGCTTGGGGATAGTATTTTATGGCTGAGAATTGGTCCGTGAAACAGAACTTGGGTCGCTTTGAAATGGGCTAGATAAGTTCTTGGAGGATAAGGTATCAGCCAACGGCTGTTAACCATGACTATGTTCTATCTCCAGGATTAGAGAGAGCTTGTCTCTGAATATCAGTCACTGAGAAACAACAGTGAGCAAGTACTATTGTCCTCATGTCCTGAGGACATGTGGGCTTCCAGCAGGCATCTGATAAACCACTGTGGGATACAGGATGCTGGAATAGTTGTGCTTCGGTCTGATCCAGCGTGGCTCTTTTGTTCTTGTAACAGAGATACAGTTGTACCTTGGTTCTCTTATGCCCCAGAATTCGTATGTTTCAGCTTCCGAATGATAGAAAACCGTCAGTGTTCTGGTTTTCAAATGTTTTTTGGAAGCTGAACGTCCAGTGTGGCTTCGACGGCTTCTGTCCTGCAGCCAATCAGAAGCCGCGTCTTGATTTTCGAACAGTTCTGGAAGTTGAACGGACTCCTAGAATGCATTCTGTTCGAGAACCAAGATATGACTGTACTCGTTAGGATCAGTCAGTTCTGTATGCCCAAGGGAGCTTTAAATTTTTTTCTCAGATAGCATCTTCTCATGCTCTGTGAGCCATTTCTGAAAGGGAAATTTGTGGGGGAGTTTGAAAAGCAGTTTTGTGACGTCATGTGGTTTGCTTAAATAAAAAAAGGGTAAAATATCCTGGTCAGCATGAAGAAACCGTTGCACCCATGCAAGTAGCTCTTAGATACCAGCTGTAAAGTTTGATGGATTGTGATTATTACTGTCCTAGTGCACACCAGCTCTACAAAAAAGCAACACATAACCACCACCACCCCTTCACAAATTAATTGAAAGGGTTTCATGTGGTGTGGTGGGGAGAACAATTGATAGATAAATTTCAGAACCATTTTTGTGACAGAATTTGACTGGCATAAGTAAAATTTGGGAGTTTTCATACAATAGTAATGATGCTACTGCAACCATCTGGATGTATTCCAAAATTATGTTTTGTATACTTTCAGTTGAAGGCTTCCCCCAGGTGTTTTACTATGGGCCGTGTGGAAAGTACAATGCCATGGTGCTTGAGCTCCTTGGTCCAAGTTTGGAGGACTTATTTGACCTTTGTGATAGAACATTCACTCTGAAGACAGTCTTAATGATAGCAATCCAGCTGGTGAGTAAAAGAATAGTTTGTGCTGATTTCGCAGTCTTTGGTTTACAATTTTGCATTATTTCCTAATATTAACAAATGATTCAGGAAACTGCATATTAACCCTTACAAGGGGAGTAGCCAACAGAGTGTCTCCAGATGTTGTTGGATTCTAGCTCCCATCATCCTTGACCATTGGCTGTGCTGACTTGGGCTGATGGGAATGGGCTTCCCTTGCACTATGCTAACTTTCAGTTTTCAAGAAAAGTAAGTGTTTGTGTGTGATTTATTTGTTTAGTTCATTGGGTTTTTTCTTGCTTCTTAGTTGTACTTAATTGAGTTAATCTTCAGTAACTCAGTAAGTATAAATGGTTTCTTTACTACGCTTTGTTCACTTTAGACAGCAATATTTGAACATATCAAGAACTGCATGTCCTTGACCTCTTGAATGGAATGATTTATGTTCTTGCTGATGTTTAGAAAGGATTATTGATTGCATATGTCGGTCTGGTGAACCTGTGGCCCTTCAGATGTCATTGGTCTCCAGATTCCATCAACCCCAGCCAGCATATCCAGTGGTTCTGAAAAATATCAGTGGTTTACAACAGTATATACAAAAAGACCATTAAAAATATAAAAATTAGAAATCAATTATGTATTATGGAAAGATATATTCATAATCGTCTATTTCAGCTTGACAGAATAGAAAAGTTTTCAACAGGTGTTCAAAAGGTGAAATGAAAGGTGCCTGCTGAATCTATTGGCAGAGTATTCCACAAGACTGGGCTGGTGATAGTTACTAAAACAGGGGTCAGCAAACATTTTCTGTAGGGGGCCGGTCCACTGTCCCTCAGATTTTGTGGAGGGCCGGACTATATATACACACTGTGAGGGGGGCCAGTAGTCCTCCTCCCCACCCCAGCCCCAGCCACCTTCTTGGTTTGCTGCCTGCCTCATTCGCCGAAGGGCTGGCAGCAGTGGCGCGAAACCGGCTTCCTCCCCGCCCAGAGAAAGAAAGCTCTGCACTTACCTTCCCAGGGGCTGCCACCATCACCGCCGCCGCTGCTGCGTCTGCTTCTTGTGAAGCTGGTATGCAGAGTGAGCTCATCCTCACTGCTCTCTGGCCCACAGGAGCACCAGGGCAGTGACGGGAGGAAGAAGCTGAACCATGCTTGGTTTACCTCATCGCGGCGCAGGGACGTCTCTGCCAGTCAAATGCCACTGAGGTAAACCAGGTGCAGCGTTTGATTGGCAGAGATGTCACTGCACTGAGGTAAACCAAGCACGGCGTTTGATTGGCAGAGCCGCCGCCGCTCGGCCTCTTCCTCCTGTCACCATCGCTAGGAGTCTCGGCTTTGCAGCGGGCTTTGCACTGTGGGCCAGATTTAGGACCCAGGTGGGCCTGATCCGGCCCAGGGGCCATAGTTTGCCGCCCCCTGTATTAAAGGCTTGGTTTCTTATTGCAGTCAAATGAGCCTCACAAACCTGGGGAATGACCAACGACGCTTCTTCAGATGTCAGTGATCGAGCTGGGATGTAAGGGATCAGGCAGTCCCAAAGATACCCTGGAATGAACTATTTAAGAGCTTTGTAAACTAATACACGGGTCTTTAGCCTGGCTCAGTAGTAATGGGCAGTGTAGAGGTTTTAGTAATGGTGTCACATGTTGTTTGTCAGGTGCTTATCTGCAGTCCTACTGCCACATTCTGCACCAGTTGGAGCTTCTGAGCCAGGCCAAAGGGAGCTCCACATAAGAGTGCATTGCAGTATTCCAGCTTTGAGGTTACTACTGCATGGACTACAATTATATTACCAGGCCTTGTTGTTGGTGGCAGACAAGGAAATGCAAGTTAGCTGGTCCTGTGTGTAAGGTTTGGTTCCCAAAATAGAGTTTGGGCACTTTCAAATGGTGGAACATGTATCAAGCTGGTCAGATTGATTTCAAGTGCATCATGTTAAATGTGTACGAGTTGAAGAGTAGGTTGCACTAGATAACTTCTAGTTTTCAAGAGTCTGATGATGATGGAAAGCAGAACATGGATTAGAGAAGTGGCATTCAAACTTGTATGGAACTCTGGGATTTCTTGAAGCTTATAAGAGGTGTTATCAGTGAGATGAGTAATGATGAACAAGGATTCCAGAAGTTGGCTTGCTACCAATTGCTGTGAAGCTTCCTCTTCCTCGGGATGTTGAGGATGTTCTGCGCTGCCTGTCTGTTCATGTGGGGCAACAATGACAACAGGCTGCTCAGAGCCATTCATGAACTGATTCTCTTATAAAAAAAATTCCTTCCAGTAGCACGTTAAAGACCAACTAAGTTAGTTCTTGGTATGAGCTTTCGTGTGCATGCACACTTCTTCAGATACACTGAAATAGAAGTTGCCAGATCCTTCTATATAGTGAGAAGGTGGGGAGGGGTATTACTCAGAAGGGTGGTGGGAATGGGTGATTGGCAGATAGCTGTGAAGAGCCTGTTGACGACTCTTCTCACTATATAGAAGGATCTGGCAACTTCTATTTCAGTGTATCTGAAGAAGTGTGCATGCACATGAAAGCTCATACCAAGAACTAACTTAGTTGGTCTTTAAGGTGCTACTGGAAGGAATTTTTTTGTTTTGACTATGGCAGACCAACACGGCTACCTATCTGTAACTGATTCTCTTATAAAAAAACACGTCATTATTTCTTTTCTATTAAGGTATTTTAACATCTGGGAATGATGTTAACTTACACTTTAATGTACACTAGCTCTTGAATAATTGACAACCTCTGAATTGGCTACCCCTGCCCGTTCGGGCCAGTCTTGCCAGACTCTAGGGTTGTGCGCTCATCTCACTCTATAGGCCAGCGCTGTCCGGAGACACTTCCGGGTCACGTGGCCAGCGTGACAAGCTGCATCTGGCGAGCCAGCGCAGCACACGGAAACGCCGTTTACCTTCCCGCTGGTAAGCGGTCCCTATTTATCTACTTGCACCCGGGGGTGCTTTCGAACACTAGCTCTTGAATAATTGACAACCTCTTGACAGTTTTGTAATTAAAGGCATTTAAATACTGTCTTGTCTTACAGATCTCTCGAATGGAATTTGTGCACTCCAAGAATCTCATTTATCGAGATGTCAAGCCAGAAAACTTCCTTATTGGACGACAAGGAAATAAGAAAGAACACATCATCCACATAATAGACTTTGGACTGGCCAAGGAGTACATTGATCCTGAAACCCAAAAACACATACCTTACAGGGAGCACAAGAGTCTAACTGGAACAGCAAGATATATGTCCATCAACACCCATCTCGGCAAAGGTTTGTTACGATACCTTTGTATCTTACTTCATCTGTATTCTGTATTACTTCATCTGTATTAGCGGAAGAGCTCAGGCTCTTTTCTACAGAACTTATGCCATTAAAACATTTTCAGATGTTATAGAAAATGAGACATTTGAATGCTTTTTGTGTTTTTTCAAAGCATTTTTATCCTGCTCTTAAGTGGAAGAAGACTCTGTCCTCAGGCTTACAATTTAAAAGACATATTATTGCTACTGTTGCATAATTTTGCATGCCTACCTGTCAGTAGCACCTTTTTTTTACAAATATATTTAAATTTCATTATTAAGAATATTAATAAATACCGTCTTTTTCTGTGTATAAGATGCTTCTGTGTATAAGACACCTGCTATTTTTTGGGACTCAAAATTAAGTAAATGCACTATGCACTATCCGTGTATAAGACGACCCCTTATTTTAAACTTCAAAAATTTAGGAAAAAATATAATCTTATACACAGAAAAATACGGTATGTTGATTACAAATAATATACATAAAATAGCCTTTACCAGACCAAATGAAAACCTACCAACAGCAGTAGCTTTTCATTTTGTCCATTAATGGCTTTCATCTGACTAGCTTCTTCAATAGTTCAGTTTCCTTGCACTTTTCAAGTTCCATTTGCATTTTGTTCTTGCCCATATACACACAGTTTTGTCCTTAGCTGTTTTGATATTGATAGCTTTTTGAAACTCTGAAATAGATTTTTAGCAAATGTGTTTGTTCTGTTTTATGTCAACCTGTAAGCCAGTTCTAGCATAAAACACCCAAAGCATTATTTAGCTTCCAGAGTGCTTCTTGTTTGGCTACTTATGTAAATGCCTTGGTAGTTGCACTTGTGTGATCCACTGTTTTACTGTCCTTGCAATCTTGACTTCTCATTCCCTGTAATGCTTTGTCCTCACACTAGTAGAGTGCACTGTACTCGGTTGAAAATCTTGGAAGCTTCACAGCATAGGCTATGTCATACTTGAAAGAACACATTTATCCATCTTGTAGAGGTTGCATAAGCAACCCTATACAGTGGTACCTCAGATTACCTACGCTTCAGGTTACATACGCTTCAGGTTACAGACTCTGCCAGAAATAGTACCTCAGGTTAAGAACTTTGCTTCAGGATGAGAACAGAAATCGTGCTCCGGCGGCGTGGCAGCAGCAGGAGGCCCCATTAGCTAAAGTGGTGCTTCAGGTTAAGAACAGTTTCAGGTTAAGAATGGACCTCCGGAACGAATTAAGTACTTAACCCGAGGTACGACTGTAAATCCTATTTTTTACCATAGTGCTGGGGTTTTTATTCCAGACTTGCAATAAGCTAAAAACCACTTTAATAAAATAGCTGTATCTAGATTTGGAGCCAGTTTATCCATAGAGCATGAAGCAGGGATGTCTTTTTGTAAATAGAAAATAAATCTACACTAAGACTTCATGGCCAATCAGGAGTCTTTGACAAATATCCCCTTCTGTGCTCCCTGATGCCTACAAATGTTTTCCACATTGTGCCAGAGCTAGGAATGTAGTTTAGTAGGCATTTCTGATAGAGCGGATAAAGCAGTGGTGCATTTTCTTACATCTTTTCAGAGCAAAGTCGTCGAGATGACTTGGAAGCCCTTGGACATATGTTCATGTATTTCCTTCGAGGCAGTTTGCCCTGGCAAGGCCTTAAGGTATTTGCTAAAGTGTGTTGCTCAATATAATAGCTGCCGGCAGATACTTCCTGTTTGACGTAGAGCTTTACTCTCTTCTCTGAGGATTCAGATTTACTTGTACAGTGGTACCTTGGAAGTCAAATGGAATCCGTTCTGGAAATCCGTTCGACTTCCAAAACATTCGGAAACCAAGGTGCGGCTTCTGATTGGCTACAGCCAATCGGAAGCTGCGTAAGCCGTGTCGGATGTTCAGGTTCCAAAGAATGTTAGCAAACTGGAACACTCACTTCCGAGTTTGTGGTGTTTGGGAGCCAAAACGTTTGACTCGCAAGACGTTCGTCAACCAAGGTATGACTGTACAGTTTTTAAGAAAACATGGCTTTGGGCAGTGATAACTGGTGGCAGGGGTGGCTCTTCCTGTTTCACCACCTGAGGCAAAATAGGATTTCCCACCTCCTGTCTTCACTCCTCACTCCCCAATACTACTTCTGTGCCTTGGATTTAACTGAACTTTGCACTCCTCAAAGTGTTGACATTTGGCTTCTCCTCCCTCCTCATTGGGGAGGTGAGGGCTGAGCGGCAGCATGTCACACAGAAATGTCTTTGATCTTGCCAAGCTTGGCAGGAACCAGGGCACCCCTCAAAGCGTTACCGCTTGGCTTCTCCCTCCCCAGGTGCGGGGAAGATGAGAGGCAATGTTTGGATGCTAGAACGTCTCCCTTATGGCAGCGGAAGTGGTGGGGCAGGTGGGGCGCCACCTCACGCATTTCTGCCACCTGAGGTGGGCACTTCACCCGTCTTCATGGGCAAGCTGGCCCTGACTGGTTCATTGCCCAAGCTCCACTCACTATGATACTCTTCAGTTTGCTAGTCAACTTTGAATTTCATCCTGATAGTCAGCCAGGGGAAGTTGCATGTCTTGCCCTTTTGTTTTTAATTGCTGACATATTCTTTACTGAGCAGCTAAATATGAGTGCAAGACATGCTTCTCCTACTGCACCTCTTATCCTTAATGTCGCCCCAGTCCAGATGAACTGCATTTTCAAAACAAAACAAAACAAAAATTCCTTCTAGTAGCACCTTAGAGACCAAATATTCTTCAGATATCTGAAGAAGTGTGCATGCACATGAAAGCTCATACCAATAAAAAACTTAGTTGGTCTCTAAGGTGCTACTGGAAGGAATTTTTTTTATTTTGTTTTGACTACGGCAGACCAACACGGCTACCACCTTCATTTTCAAGCTTCCCTTTAGTTCCCATTTTCATTTTGCCTGATTTTTCTCTGTATAATCCTTCTTCATCTGCCTAGTCCCTCCTGTCCACTTCACAGCTGGAGTCCCTCACATCCAATTTGCCAGCCCACAAAGGAGGAGGCCTCCCACGCAGAGGTCTAGCATCAACTCCCCTTGTTTTGTTCTTGGAACCTCATTGAGGAACAGTAACAAAAAAGAGGTCTAGTGTGCAAATAAAGGAGAAAAATCTAGAATAGGCTTTTATTGGGTGGGAAGGATCAGGCTCCCATCCTTTTTAGATCTTCTGTTGTAAACAGATGCTTGATGAGCTGTGCAGTGGTGCAGATGGAAGTCCTTTGTCAGGATGAATACAGCAAAGGGTTAGAGAGTTAATGGGTGAAGGAGATAATTAGCTTAGTAGAGTCGCTCTCAACTTGCTGATTATCATGATTATAGATAGTAATGGTCTTAGAGTAAACGTTCTTGTAAAGAGCACGTTTCAAAATAACTTCAAACACCCCTTTTCTGGGCTGTGTAGAAAGAGGAGGTTCGGAGAGGGTGCAGACTGGCTGTAATGGGTCAGGGAGCTGGCAGGAAAGCCATGTTGTGTGAGCTTGCACATGCAGATCTGTTCATGCAATAGTAGTAACAAGTAATGTGTATATGGTACTTTATAGTGCTCAAACGGCTTTACATAATCTTAGTTTACAACAACTTGATAAAATAGGTCAATATTATCCCCATGTTGCATATGGGCGGTAGAGAGGGGAAGAGAGTGGCTTGCCTTACTGCGTAGCCTAACCCTCTTAAAATATATATTTGCCTTACACAGGCTGATACATTAAAAGAGAGATACCAGAAGATTGGGGACACAAAGAGGAACACTCCAATTGATGTTCTCTGTGAGAACTTCCCAGGTAAGTTTCATAGTGGGTGGTGTATGTTCTGTGCAAGGTGACTTCTGAAAATAGGAACCAGGCTCTTGTTAAAGCAGCATTTCCTGAGCTCAAGTGTTGGAACAAATGTGTTCCTACTGGTATGCTTGGATTCTTTGTTCAATGTATGGCAAACAGAGTTAGCTGTAAATTTCAGTGATACCTGTGACTCTCCAAGTGTTGTTGGGTAACTATTTTCATCCTTCCTGACCATTGACCATAATGGCTGTGACTTCTGGTAGTTGGAGTCCATCAACACCCAGAGAGCCACAGGTTACCCTTCCCTGGTTTTAAATGATTGCTTGCAGCCACCTGGCTAATGATAAGTGCCAATCCTAGCTCAGAGTAAATCAGTCTGGTCAAGTTCACAACACCTCTGCTATGTACTAGAGAGCCTGCTTTCCTTTGTAGCCTGCGTATGGCTACAGTCCTCCATGCGCTTCTTTGGAATTGATTATTTCTGATAGGTAGGGCCCTAGAATGGTGATGTGAGTAGCTGAGTGACAAGTTAGCAAACATGGTTGTTGACCCATTTCAAGGATAGAAAGTGCCTTGATTGCTAGAAAATGAAATGGGAGGAATGTTTTTCTTCACTGTTTCTTCTAGAACTCTCAGTGGTAATATCCAGTATCATGGACTGGGGCTGGGGTCCATCTGGGACATCTTCCAATGTGGACCTCATGGGCATTGCCTTTAGTGGTTCCAGTCCTCCTTGGGTTCTTAGGAGACTAGGTGTGTGGTGTTGTCAGCACACTAGCACCCAACTCTGTCTCGTTTTCACTGAATCCTAGGGAGGCAGGAGAGGCTCTGAATAGGCTTCTTAAGTCAGTGAGTCATTGGATAAGTGTGATGAACCTGAAAATACTCTATTTTAGACTTATGTGGACTTCAAACAATCTGATTGCTATTGATGTCATCGGGGAGGGTCAGGGAGAGAATTACCTGCACCCACTCTTTCTTTTAGACAAGCATGCAAGTGCAACATAATTAACAATGGGAAGAAATACCTCTTTGCTGTTTGATAGCTGTCATATTGCTCATCATTATACATATGTAGCACAGCAGAGGTGCTGTACCTCAAAGAACATTCAAGACCAGCAGGTTGTGACTGATTTAAATCAAGTAGCCCTTTAAACTTCTGAGCAGCATACCTTATTTTTCTGTGTATAACATGCCCCCGTGTATAACAAGACCCCCATTTTTGGGGACTCCAAATAAAGAAATCCCCCATATGCACTATCCGTGTATAAGACGACCCCCAATTTTAAACTTGAAAAAATAGGGGGGAAATAGCATCTCATACACAGAAGAATATGGTATGTTGAGCTAGTGTTCGAAACATTTGTGTCCTTGTTTGGAGTATTACTGACTCTAGATTAGCAGTGTAGGCTCTGTTCCCTGCATCTGATTATAGCACACTGACCTCAACAGAACGTTGTGGCAAGGACCTAGACTCAAATAGCTCTTAAAATGCAGCTATTCTTCATTATTTTCATTTGCTTTTATCTCTCTTTGTATCTGGCTTGTGGGCCCTTGTTTTGAAGACAGGAGCCGATCTATTCAATATAAACATGCTTTAACCTACCCTGAACTGTTGAAAAAAATGTGTATTTTTATGTTGATGTCCACTGAGAGAATTGGGAGGTCTGGTGTAAATGCTTCCTCCTCTCTAAACTGCTCTCCAGTATATATTTTTGCTACCTGAAAGTTTGCCTTTTCATATGTCTAAATGGCCTCAAGTGTAGTAAGGAGAACCATTTGGAAATTGTGACTGAATATCATCCTACCAGTGGCACAGGTTTGTTGACCCCCTCATTTACTTTTGTAGGTTTATATCTTAGGGGATTAATCCGACCAGTAGGTAATGTTGAAATGTATTCTGCTTCTACTTCTTTCTGAACAGATTATCTGATGTTGCTTCTTCCTAATTCCCTTTAACAGAGGAGATGGCAGCTTATCTTCGTTATGTCAGACGATTAGACTTCTTCGAGAGACCAGACTATGATTATCTACGAACAATCTTCACAGAGTTATTTGAAAAGAGAGGATTCACCTTTGATTACGCCTACGACTGGGTTGGCAGGCCAATTGTATGTTGGAGCTGAGTGACATATTCCTTTTTTTTCTTGACTGTTGCTCTTTCTATAATGTCCCTTTTAAATGCCAGTTACATTGCAAGTAATCACTTCATGATGAACTGAGAACACAATATGACCTTTTTGCTGTACATTGAAAACTTTACTGCAAAGCCATATACGTGTTCAAGGCTCCAAACATTTTTCTTTGTTCAAGTTACTAAATGTGTCTTTCCAAACAAGTAGTATTGTAATGTAGGTGCAATTGGTTCTCTTGCATTGTGACTGGAGGGATGACAGAATGCATATTTTATTGGCTCTCCTCCAGAACCGTAGTATGTCAGATATGACCAATTGTAACTGTTTGTGCTCATTTCCACTTCTTTATTAGTATGACTTAGTTGCCTGTTCTCCTTTCCCTTATCAACTAAATTCACCATAAGATTCTTACCATGTTACATATCTGTTCCCTGCCTTCAGCCATGTGGAACTTGAGGAACTTTTCCAGGCTGCAGGCAGATTGTTATCTCCCCATCCTTTAGAGGGTCAAACGTGACCAGTGGGTGAGGGTGGGTGAATCAATCTGACTGCCAAACTCTCCTCTCAGACCAAGAGGGGGTCGAAGAGCAAACCTCAAATGTTCTGAAGAGACATTTGTTCATCATTATCGGGGGAAGATTAAACCTCCAGGAAGGTGGGGGAGTGTCCAGAACAAGGAGAAGTTCAGAACAGCATTGCGGCATCTACCACATTCATGTAGATGTTAAACATGTGCATTTTTGTGGCCAGCTGGATAGCATGAGATTTCAGGTGTGGCTCTTTGTCTTAAAGAAGCTGTAGGCTACTGGCTGAAAGCAGCAAGTTCATTAATTGAAGATATGGGGGCAGCATCTGTTTGGTTTCTACTCAAAAATTATCTGCTCTAGTTGTTAAGCCAACGGGTTGTTTGAGAGCCACCTGGTGGGTCAATTCTGTTTGTGTGTGTGTTTCTTTTCCAGCCCACTCCAGTGGGGTCCATGCATGTGGAGTCTGGACCATCTGTAACAAGAGACATCCATGCACATAGGGATCGATCATCGATGCAGCCTCTCCGAAATCAGGTTTGTTAGCATAACATTGTTTCAACTATAACTTTCCATTCAAATCTTTACTGAAACTTTAATTTATAAAGAGGGGCATACAGAGAAAAGACTGTTAATTCTGTTTCTTGGGTGATTGGGGTGGTAGGAAGGCTGATTAATTAATATTATCCTGTATTTAAGAATCTTTCCTGTTAATCTGCTTTACTGTATATTTGAAATGAGTGATATATAATGGTGAATGTCAGGCTTTGAAGGAAGGAGAGACTCTTTTTGCAAGATAGGACTTTATTCCCCATTGCAGTATTGGGATGGCTTTAGATCTCTCTACCCATCGCTGTAATGCAATGATCTGCATTTCTACTGCAGCACTGGGCTGAGAAGAGAGGTTGATTCTTGGACCTATGATGCGTGTGTATATATCTATAAACTGTGTACACATGTGTGAGAGATAGTGTGACTGCCAGTAGGCTTGGCTAACCTTTAAAATGTTTGATAACAGAGACTTGCCCTGGATCCCCGCCCCCATAGGAAGTCCACTTTGGTATTTACTGCTTTTGGCTTCTCTGCAAACGGTTGGGAGTAGACTTGTCAAAATTAATACTTCTTCACTGCTTTGCTTCTTGGTGCCCATCCTGCAGCGAGCTGACAATGTGCTTTTTAAAATAAAGCATTGCTTTGCTCTGGTTTACCCTTGCCTTCCCTCCTCTCTTTTTGCTCTGTGCTTGCAAATGCCTATGCAGTCTGCATCAGAACGTCGCGGAGAATGGGAAATGGCACCAATGCGACAATCCAATGCTTTGTTTCTGCAATCTCACTTAACTTCAGATCGGCATGGGGGATCAGTACAGGTATTGTCCTTCTCTGTTCCACACATATTTTCTAGCGCAGTCCCTTTCTTGTAACGTTCATATGCACCACATTCTGGTGCATATTTGGTTAACTTGATGCTTCAGCTAAAATGTGTGAATTGCCTGTCACAAGGTATGAGGCAGCACAGTATGAGAACTTTGTCTGTACTCAGAATATCTCCGAGACACAGATTTCCTCAGTTTGGTGTTGTATGAGAGTGTTTGGTAGGCAAGTGTGATGTCACCATTTGTCTTATGTTGATTCTTTAGACAGAGTTTGTTTCTTTTTTCCAGATTTTGTTTTAGTGTCTTCCAGATACTTTTCTTTTGTAACTGATATTACCATGCTTATGGTATTTCCACAGTGTCTTAGAAACAAATGCTATAAATAAAAGTATTGGGTAGAACAAAGGTATAAATAAGGTGTAATTATCATTAAAGCAATAAAAATAAAATAATTTATGTAGCTACAAAGGGGGAGAAAGAGGAAAGTAGAAGTTTAGAACTATTCATAAAGCTATTACCTTTATTTTCTTAAGAGTTAAATTTCACCCAATAGCACAATAGGATTTACTCTTTCTTGTATTCTATTATTCTGTACCAGGAACTTTATTTATTGTTGACTGTTCATTTATTGTTGACAGCTTCATTGGTTGATCCCTAGTGTTCATCTCATCCACTTTCTCCATGCCATGCATGATTTTATACAACTTTGTGATTTCCCCACCCACTTACTCACTTTTTAAAAAGTAAACTAAAAAGCCTCAAACCTTGGGAGCAAAAAGTTTCAGACCAGAGGACCCAGAATCTCAAACAGGAAGGCAGTTGTTCTGAGACTTCAGTGGAATTGCATGACAACCTCCCTGCAATAAATACATACATGAGTATGCAAAGTCTGTTTTAGAACTCAGAAACAAGAAATCTGAAAGTGGTCAGGATAATAGAAGCAAGTTGAAATGGGCAATAAGGCAATAGATGAGAATTTGTGGAGAGTATACAAGGAGGCTGCTGCTGTCTGGTATCTGGCTACAGCTACCCTGATATCTGCTTCCTCCCCTCACCAATCAGAATTGCTTGAACATTTGGTAAAGAGAAATCAATGCTTCCAAGGTAGTGTTGAAAATAAGCAAACAAAACTAATAGCCCACAGATTCTTAGTAGTCCATTTACCTTCATACATGTGAAAAAAGCAAAGCTTTACTCTCTCTAAGTAGAGTAAAACTTGTGGACAGACCATGTTCTTCACATGTAGGTCCCTGCTTCAATCGTTATTTCACTCTGTAGTTGGAGTGTGTATGTTATACGTAATAGAGAGAGAGAGAGAGACAAGCCATCACTCCTCAGACAGTTTTATACAGGCAAACTTTGGCCATGCACACTATATGTATATTTTTACCACCTGCACTGCTTTCTTTCATTTTGATGATGCGTCCACTGATTATTTCAGAGCACTCTGGATCTTCTCTGTCACTGGAACCCTCTTGATCCCAAATTAGGCTAGAGGTGTAAAAAATAATGCCTTAAGATTCATAAACTAGTAGTCTGCAGAATTCATTCTATGTCTCACACATTTTTTAAGTATATCCTAATACGAAAAAACCAAAAACTGCTGGAATGTTTGCAGAGAACTTACAACCCAGGTCATAGAATGAGCTTCCTTTCTGAGCACCAAGTTTCATTTTCACTTAATTTAATGTGCCAATGCGTGTGACACAAACTGGGGCTATGTTTTCATATTAATGTTGGGGCTTTGTTTCTATTCTTTTAAGGTGGTAAACTCGACCAATGGTGAGTTGAACACCGATGAACCAACAGGAGCACCTTCCAATGTACAAATTGCAGCATGTACTGAGGTGGAAGTAGTGGAGGAAGCTAAGTATGTTTGCCGTGAAAGCAGCCCCCCCCCGCATCATTTGTGTGTCAAGTCAGTTTGTGTGTTCTTGTGTTTGATGCCTATATCCATAACCTGCTATCAGATGCTTTGTTTTTGCATGTTATCCTTAGTGCTGCTGCTGATGGTACAGCTTCTTTTCACTTGCACTGCCCAGGTAATGTTGCTGTTGGCCAGAGCATGCATTGCAAATTAGTATTTCAGAAGAATTTGCAAGTGGCATGTATAGTAAACGTCCTCTGAGTTAGGGATGTAGTTTCTGTTTGTCAAACTGTATGCGCATAACTAGTGCTGGGGATGCAGAAGCCAGAGTCCCTCTTTATCCCTCATTCTTGAAGTCTGAGCCTATGCAATTTTAGGTTAACCTGTCAGACTGTGAGTAACTTTTTTGCTATGGAAACACGTAAGGTAACTTTATAAGCTGCCTGCTGGGTGTTGCAAGGTATTTTGTTGAGGGAATAATGCCTTGGCTGTTTTTCCATCTCCACCATCCGGTGGCACTTTGCATGATTTTCTACCATTACATGAACCATAATGTGGAATCTTCTCTAGGTAATCAGCAGTCCTCTTTTCTTCAGCACACACCTAATGCATTATGGTAAGGAGGTTCTACAAAGGCTTCATAGATCAAGGCATAGCAGATTGACTGACTTGCCTTGTGGCTACTGAATGTCTCAGCAATCATAGGCTTCTTCGCAAGCATTGTGATTCTTTAATTCCTAGGCTGGAAATAGCCTGAAATTGCTTGTGAGAAAAGCAAGTGTATGCAATACCTCTAATTGTGCTTCAGGTGTGAATCTTCAACTGAGAAGTAATCGCCTAGCACTCCATTACCCAAGAAATGTGTTATCGCTCTGCAAACATTTCTGTCTTCAGCCGTAAGGAGAGCTTCATAGCTGCAAGAAATGCAGGATTTGAATGTATTTAAATAAAATTGAGAGGTCCTTGTGGCAAACCTAATAATTGTGTGTTGCATTCCCAGCTGAGCCTCTGTTCCTCTGCAGGGGAACAATATATTTCAGCAGATGGGGGTGGGATGAGATATTAACTACTTTGGATATTTATTGTTATATGATACAGAGCTTTCTGCCCGAGTTTCTTTTGACAGCAGACTAGCTTCCACCAAGTGCTGCTCAAGTGAACTGGGCTTCAGTACTTTTACTTCGTTTTGGATACTAGCTTTTAATAAATTGTTCAGCTTGCTGCTCTATGCAAGACAGCCTTTGCTTTGGTGCTGCAGCATCAGCTAAGTTAAGTTAGGCCATGTCCATGGAGCCTAAAAATTAAGACTTCAGAATGTCCCCAAGGACATACTCTCCTGCGGTGGACTTGTTGCTGCAGCTGTGACAACAGCAATATCTCTGCATGTTAACTTGAAAAGAAATCACAGTACATTCATTGAGTTTTTTTACTCCCTAGTAAGCATGTTTAGGATTGCCTCCTTAGTGGGAGATGCCAATAAAATACCATTACTGATTTTGATTTTACAGCTGAGCTATGTGAAGAATTGTTTTCTTCTGCAGTAAATAAAGTTAGGGACATTTAATGTTGACGGAGGAATTGGGGAAGGTCCTGTGGTTACAACACGGTGTACCATATCTCCTCTGCACTTGACCTTTCCATGGAAATTGCACATTCAAGCTTTACCCACAATTTCCTGGGTATGCTAAAAGTTTCCAAGACATTTGAATTCACATAGACTTCTAGTCAACATGATACTTCAGTTGAAAAGTACAGCTATACAAAGGAAATGACTTATACCACAGTCTTATTAATTTCATAGGGCTTAGGGGCAATTAATTATGTATAGAACTGATGGGTGAGGTTGTGTGTGTGTGTGTGTGTGTGTTTAACTTGTATAGTAAAACTTGGAAAGCTGAAAAAGGCGTTTCAGTTTTACTTTCCTCTAGACAAGTTGCCGTTTCTTTCCTCACTCTGCCTTTTACTCTTCCTTTCTGCCTGTTCATCTCCCAGCCATGGATGATCTTTATTTACTTATTAAGCCATCAACTTCTAACAGACCATTCAAATGTTGTCTACCTCAAGCTGTGTGACTTCGTCATTTTTTAAGCCTGCTGTGTTTGTGCGTCTCCAGACTTATTCTTGCTAGTGAAGCCTTTCTGTCTGCTCTTTTTTTTCTTGCTGTGAATCTCCTGCTCGAAGAATATAAGATCTCTTTGTGAATTTCTATCCAGACCTTTTTCTATTTCCCTCCATATGCAAAATTCCCTAGTTTTGTCATTCATCAGTTTCTCTATCCTTCATATATATATGAAAGATGCTCACTACCTTCAATCATGCAACCTGATCCCTTGATCCATCCTTTCCTACCTCTGATTTCTCTCTCTAGCTATCTTCATTTGTTCTGTGCTGCCTAGTTCCTTATCGTGGGCTTTCAGACATACAAATATTTCTCAGTCCTTATTTCCTCCTTATATTCATCCTTCCCCCACTTTCAGCTGTCATCCAGTACCTTTCAGTGCAGAATTTGTTGAGCATTTCGTATGATCCTGTTTACCTTTTGACCTCCAACTCCTTCCTTTACTCTTTTCAATCTGATTTTTGCTAGATTAACTTCACTGAAACTGCTTTTACCAAAGTTTTCAATACCTTCTTCTGGCCAAACCTTAGAGTAGCTTTCATTCTATTTAAACAATCTGGTACTTTCAATCATGTCAACTTTCCCTTAAATATGTTGTTTTTGCCATTCTTGATCCTCTTTAACTTCTTTTTTTCTTTTTCCTTTATCTCATTCTCTGGCTCATAATATGCTCTACTTCCATTCAAAATGTAGCCATTTGCCTCTGGTTGCTTGCATTTAGCTCTCATTGCTTGTGCTTACTACACTTATACAGATAAAAATTTTCCCTTTTTAAAACTCGTGATTATCAACTTCTAATGAATTCTTTTATTCTGGTTGCATTGCTAAGAACTCCTGTATCCCAAACTAAACAACATGGTAAGAATTCAGATATCAATCTTAAGAACCTGAGAAGAGCCCTACTGGATCGAAACAAACACCTATGCAGTCTAGCATCCAGTTTCTCATAGTAGCCAATGAGACGTTTATGGGAAGTCCACAAGTAGGACATGCGGGCAATAGTCTTTTCCTGCTGTTGTTAGTATTCCGAGGTATGTTGCCCCTGATTCTCAGAGGTGGGGTCTTTTCACTCAGATACTTCCTCTCCTGACTACCTGTCCCTACTTCTGTTGCTGGCAGAAATTTGATATTTTTTCAATCTCCCAAGACTGCAAACTTGCGGACATGGAATGCTCCCCTTTCTTGTTGTCTTAATACTGCTACTGTTTCCATCTCTAAAACTGTTTTAAGCCATCATCCATGGTATTGCATCCTCTTTTTGCTGGCTACCGTAGCTAAAAGTCACCCATTGTCTTAAATCTCTTTTCCAGCTTCCTTTGTCACTTTCCACACCAGCTTTGTCTTTTGTAGCCTTTAAATTTAAAGGCTCTCCATTATTTTGCTCCAGATCATAAGCTCATTTGTCCCATCTATTTTGGTTTCTCTTCCACATTTTCCACTGTCCCCTATGTTCTGCCTAAGTTAGACTGTAAATCCTTTGTGCCAGAAGTGTTACTTCTGCTTTCTCCAGCACATGCTGAAACTTAAATAACACAGTAGTGGTGGTGGTAATAATTTATTTCCAAGGCGTGTAGGGAGACTAACTCCTTCTCAAAATGATAAATGAAGTTAAGGAAATGTAGGGGTATTGTTTTGATCAGTTGCCATGTTCCATCAAAGCACTTAAGGTATTTGCATTTGAGCCTTTTTAGCCAGTTATCTCTACAGTTTACTTGCAAGTTAAAAGGTTCAGAAACCTTGCTGCTCCTATCTGCCAAAGTCCTCTAGAGCACATTCCCGTCAATGATGATTTTCTGATGCTCTAACATAGTTGTCCTAGACAGTTGTGAAAACTTTGTCTCACAGCAACAATCCCTTGTGATAGCTCTTTCCTGGTTAGTTGCAGAAGGTTCAGGTGGAACCAGGTTTGACAAGGCAGGTAGACATCATGTGTATCACAGATCTGCACTGCATGTTTGCATGACTTGCCATGACATGCTTCCATCTCGCCTCTGAACTAATGTCTCCCTACCTTTCTGTGTTTTTATTTGTCTTTCTTTCTTTCTCCTCACACTGTCTATTGTAGCTGCCTGAAAATGCTCAACTTGTGGTGAGTCACTCTCTCTGGTTCACATACAAGGGGGCGTGAACCAGACTAGGCCTTGATTGGCCAAATCAAAATGAAATTAACGGAAGGGGTGGGTGAGCTGCTCAGAGTCCTTGGACTGTCATCCTAACACACCAAACACTTGTCTTTTAAGTTTTATTTGGGTGAACAAATACTTGAAGTTAGGAAGTGCTTGGAGCTAGAGGCAATAAATTTCCTATGCAATTTTCTCTCTACTTGCACACTTTTGTCAGTTGTCAATTTTTTGTGGCAGAGGCACAACTGTCCTGAAAGCATTGCACTTGCTACAGAGCTAGAGTTCTGCTCTTTTCAATCCTGATTTCTGTCAGCAGCTTCATGGTAAAAATGTGGCTTGGGTGGGTGTCATCCTTTGCTTGGTATTTCCGGAGCTAGGCTCCTACAGTTAGAAGATAGTTTATTGGTTCCCAGTCCAGAATAAATACTATTCTGAATTACACCTAGGCTGCTTATTACCAGGCACAGATCAAGGTACTTGACTTCCTGTGGCTTCCTGCAGTTTGTGGAGAAGAGTTAGTTTATAGCCTTCAGCTTGTAAAATGGTGCCCTCCAAGTGTTTTGAACTCAGAACCCAAGTGTTTTGAACATTGGTCTGTCGGCCAATGGTCATACTGTATTCTGAAACATCTGGAGGGCACCAGGTTGCGGAAGGTGGGTTAGAGCTTCATATTTTGTTGTAGAGGGTGAGGATAGGACAAGGAGGCAACCTATGTGATGAGAGCTGTTTACAAGTTGGAGAAAAGCTACTACTCTCACCAT